CATATACTTTTCTTTGTAGGAGTTATCTCCCCGAACACTGTTTTCCTTGTGACTGCATCTCCTCCGTAACTGTATAAGAAAGCAACAAATTTATTTTATAAAATTGCTCGTTATATCCTTCGCATGATTTGTCCAATTTTGACCGAAACCATACGAACACTCCATGTGAGAGTTATTTCCCCTTATGCATTTGATATAAGTGAATATGCATTTTAATCTTTTAAACCATAAGTGATAGAGACCTAGGATCTTTTGATTTGAGGTTCTTGGTCCAAAAAAAAGAAAATAAGGTCAAGGTCATATTTTAAATTTTGATTTTGGCTTGTTTTCAATTCTTTTCAAAAACCGTATAAGATATCGACAACATATTTTTACTAAACTGTAAGTTACGACATGTCGTAACACATAAATTTTGGTTGAAAGGGTACACTAACATTAAATTGGAGTTTTCTCCCCTCTTATATTAAAAATTAGGCATATAGTGATATAACTCATTAACCATATATAATTAAGACCTATGGTCTTTTGATTTGAAGCCCTTGGTTTATGACCTTGAAATTGAACTCAAGGTCATAGGTAAATTTGACGTTCTAGATATTGACCTTTGCTTTTACCTCATATGTATACATGATAAAGCCATGGGAAAGCAAGAAATGGACAATACAAACTACCCATATAAAATCAGCATTCTTACAAGGAAAGAAATTAGATCATGATGTCCATATTAAACCTCCAGTTGAAAGTGATACACCAAAAGAATTCATTTGGAAACTAAAACATGGATTGTATGGACTAAAGGATGGAGCTAGGTAGTTCTATATAAGTGTTAAAGATGAACTCTTAAATTTAGGATGTAGACAATGTAAACTTGATCCTGCTTCGTTTATCCTGACAGTTGGGTCAATGTTCGCAATTGTTTCTCCATAGGCGGTAATGGTAACGTTTTCTTCTGTTGCTCAGTCCATATCGTTAACTTGGATATGTATGATGGCTTGTTTCGAAGCTGAGACATTTTCACATATGTGGTTAAATTTTAGGGGTACGAAGTGAGATTACTTTTTCCGTAAATTAGCAAACCCCGAAAAAATCCTTTCATGATGCGGCGCCTCGTCGTAAAAAATCCCTTTTTTAACACAATAAGTTCTTTGAAAATTTAATACTTTGAACACATTTAATAGCTCCATAGTTTTTTTACACATTTATTCTATGTTCCCCTACTTTTTAAATCAACACAAATGGATAAGCTCAGTCACTTGTTTATCATAGAAACGTGTCATATATCACTACACAGAAATTTTTTGTTTACACACAACTTTTGAGTTCCTCATTTTGAGGCGCATTAGGGATATTGACCCAGTTAAGGGATCTGTCCAAGGTATTTTCTGTTGCCATGTAGATGACTTTCTCCATGCAGGAAATGAAGAATTTGAGAAACTGATGGAAAAATTAAGGAAGAGGTTCATAGCAGGAAAAATTGAATAAGAGGATTTTCGTTATGTTGGTTTCATGATAAAGCAAAACAATGAAGGTATACAAATATATCATTCAATATACATGGAAAAACTAGATCACCAACACATAGAGCCACAGCGTGCATTTCAGAAATTGAAACAACTTACCCAAGAAGAGCAGAAAGATTATCGCAGTATGGTAGGGGAATTGAACTGGGCAGTGCAAGGATCAAGACCAGATTTAGCTTTTGAACTTGATTTAAGTACTAAACTGAAAAGTGCATTAGTATGTGATCTTCTATGTGCTATTAAAAACATTGGAAAGTTAAAGGACATAAGGCCTATTCAGTTTTTCCCAATCACTTTAAAAGGAAATGTAACAGAAGACTGGGAAATTTTTGTTTTTAGTGATGCTGCATTAGGAAGTATTAATGATGATAAAGAGAAATGCTGTTCAAGGAAACCTCATACTCCTTAAACCAAAAATAGAATTGTTTAAGAAATCTTTTATGTATTCTGGACCATTCTTGTGGAATAATTTGTCAATACCGTTAAGAAATATTACAAATGTTAATTCTTTCAAATACAAAATAACAGATCATTTATTGCAATCAGCCTGTTGAAAAAAAAAATAAAATATTGAATACTGATTATGTCATGATGTTTATTTTTTCATAACATTTTATCAAGTTGTATTGAACATTATCATCATACTTGACATTTATACTTATGTATGCCATGCATATGTTTGCATTTTGTTTATGCTTTTCTATGATGAGGGCATCAGGGAAGATTAGTTATATAGCTAACTGTGTAACCCTCTTAAAATAAAGTATTGTTGTTGTTAAAGGGAGTACAGGAGCTCACATTGTTTGGATAAAAGATCGAATTGGAATTTGTTGTCCAATTACATGGCAAGCCAACAAGATTAAAAGGGTAGTTCATTCTACTATAGCAGCGGAAGTTTACAAGATGGATTGGAAATGGCTTTATATTTTCGTAAAATCATTTAAGACATTTGTGGAGTTGGGCAACGAACTATACCTATTACAGCTTTTATTGACAACAAAAGTGTTACTGTGGCACTAAAATCAACCATTTTGATAGAGGACAAAAGGTTAAGAATAGATATTGCAGCTATATGTGAAATGATACAAAATAACTATGTTGAGGTAAAATGGTGTCCAGGGAAAGTTCAGCTTGCAAATTCTATGACCAAAAGAGGAGCTTCTGGAACTTTTAAATGTGCTGCAGAAAGGAAAAATGCCAGAAGAATTTGTGTGAAAGCACTGAAACAAAATGACAGTTTTACTTTTGCATTTTTAATTTCAATTGTTTTTTCGGAAAAGGGCCATAATCACCATGATCTGAGGACAGTCTAATCCAATGACGATCACTTCAAAAATATATTTTGACTTCTTTGTTTTCTGAAATGGGGCAGAATAATCCCTGTGACCTGAGGATAGTCTAATCCAATGATGGTCACTTCAAAAATATTTTATTATTTTATCATGTATATTCAGCTACCGAACTGTGTAATATCATAAAGACTGATTCATGTTACAAAAGAAGACATTTTGATTAATGTTGATGACCAAATTAATGTGTCAAGAAAGATAACTCTAGTTACTTTGTAAAGAACTCTTTTGTTTTATATATGCTGATTGCCTCTTTGATATATAAAATGGTGTGATTAACATGTGTTCAACACTTATGCCCACTTGTTCTGGACAATTGGAAAAGCGGTTATGTCGAGCCCTGTTTCTTTTGTTTAAGTTCAGTGCCTTTCTTGAAAAATGGTGTAGCCAGTAATCAAAATTACCTTTTATTTGTACATTTTAGTGATTTAATTGATTTGTTAAACCAAGATTTAATGTATCCTTTACTAAAATGAACCCCCAGTGGAGAAACATGTGCATTGATACTGTAAATTACTTCTTGTTGATGACTAAAAGTTTTAAGTTGATTTTTGTTAAACATGTTTGCTGATGCCAAATCCGCCCCCTAACCTGGGACAGTGGTGTAACAGTACATACAACATAAGAACAGACTATAAAAGTCAGTTGATAAGGGCTTAACTCATCAGATAGATACAAAGCAGAAAAACATCTAACAAATGCTGCAAATTCTGGGAAGTTTTCAATTTGAGCCTTTGATTTGCCTCCGATTTTTACCCGGTGACATGCATAGTAGGAGACATAGAAAGTTTTTTATACGACCACAAAAAATTTTTGCGGTCGTATATTGGTATGACGTTGGCGTCGTAATCGTCGTCCGAAGACACATTGGTTTTCGCACAATAACTTTAGTTTAAGTGAATGGATCTCTAAGGTTCAATACCACAAAAGGAAGGTTGGGATTGATTTTGGGGATTATGGTACCAACAGTTAAGGAATTAGGGGCCAAAAATAAGCATTTTTGTAACTTCCAGACAATAACTTGTGTGTTAGTGTATGGATCTCTCTGACATTGTACCACAAGGTTCCATATCACAAAGAGAATGCTGGGATTGATTTTGGTGGTAATTGCCTCAAAATTTTAGGAATTAATGGGCAAAAAACAAGCATTTTTCTAGTTTCATGACAATAACTTGTGTGTAAGTGTATGGATCTTTCTGAAATTGTACTACAAGGTTCCATATCACAAAGGGAAAGCTGGAATTGAGTTTGGGGGTAATTGCCCAAAACGTTTAGGAATAAGGGGCCAGAAATAAGCATTTTTCTAATTTCCAGACAATAACTTGTGTTCAAGTGTATGGATCTCTCTGAAATTGTACTGCAAGGTACCATACCACAAAGGGAAGGCTGGGATTGATTTTGGGGGTAATTGCCTCAAAATTTTAGGAATTAGGGTCCAAAAAGGGGCAAAAAACAAGCATTTTTCTAGTTTCAGGACAATAACTTGTGTGTAAGTGTATGGATCTTTATGAAATTGTACTACAAGGTTCCATACCACAAAGGGAAGGCTGAGATTGAGTTTGGGGGTGATGAATCATAAGGGGGTTCAATAAATTTGGGGGGGGGGGGTTCCCTTTTTTTCCTTTTTTTTTTCTTTAAAATTTTCCATTTTAAGTTGGTTATTTCTGATCTATATATAAAAGCAAATAATAATGATATGGTTTGATTTCATCAAAAATTGAAATATTGGGGTTCTTTGATATGCTTGAATCTAACCATGTATTTAGATTCTTAATTGTTGGTCCCATTTTCAAATTGGTCTACATTAAGGTCCAAAGGGTCCAAAATTAAACTTAGTTTGATTTTAACAAAAATTAAATTCTTGGGGTTCTTTGATATGCTGAATCTAACCGTGTATTAATTCTAACCATGTATTTAGATTTTTATACGCCCGTCAATTTTTTGACTGGACGTTTTATGGTATACAAATGTCCGGCGTCCGTCCGTCTGTCTGTCTGTCCGTCTGTCTGTCCGGCGTAAACATGTCGCACCGTAACTTGAGAATGACTTATCCAAATTTCATGAAACTTAACATAGTTGTTTCTTATGATGGTCAAACGATCTGTATACTTTTTGGTGAAAATAAGATTAAAACTTTTTGAGTTACGGGACTTAGTAACTAAAACAGGTGTGTGGTTTTTTTTCACATGTCACGCCGTATCTCAAAAACAATTTATGATTATTGCTTAAAACTTTACACACTTCTTAGTTATATTAATCTTAAGATCTGTATACTTTTTGGTGATGATTCAAAATTTTATTTTAGAGATATTGAGTATTTTGTTATAAAAGGGGGAGGGGTTTTTCACATGTCGCGCCGTATCTCAAAAACAGTTTATGATTATTGCTTAACACTTAACACACTTCTTAGTTATATTAACCTTAAGATCTGTATACTTTTTGGTGATGATTCAAAATTTTATTTTTGAGTTATTGAGTATTTTGTAAAAAAAGGGGGAGGGATTTTTCACATGTCGCGCCGTATCTCAAAAACGATTTATGATTATTGCTTAAAATTTTACACACTTCTTAGTTATATTAATCTAAAGATCTGTATACTTTTTGGTTTTGATTCAAAATTTTATTTTTGAGATATTGATTTTTTTTTTTTTAAAAGGGGGGTTTTCACATGTCGCGCCGTATCTCAAAAACGATTCATGATTATTGCTTAAAATTTAACACACTTCTTAGTTATATTAATCTAAAGATCTGTATACTTTTTGGTTTTGATTCAAAATTTTATTTTTGAGATATTGAGTTTTTTGTAAAAAAAAAAAAGGGGGTTTTCGCATGTCACGCCGTATGTCAGAAACTATTTATACTTATTGCATAAAAATTCACACACAAGGCAACGGGCGTATCATGCGCTCATGGCGCAGCTGTTTATTGATTTTTGGGCCCCGTTATCAAATTGGTCCACATTGAGGTCAAAAGGGTCCAAAATTAAACTTTGTTTTTAATACATCAAAAATTGAATTCTTTGGATTCTTTGATATGCTGAATCTAACCATGTATTAAGATTTTGGATATTGGACCATAATAGGTAAATTAAAAAAAAATTAAGTTCTTAGACCACATTCATTCTGTGTCAAAAACCTATGCTGTGTCAAATATTTAATCACAATCCAAATTCAGAGCTGTATCAAGCCTGAATGTCGTGTCCATACTTGCCCCAACTGTTCAGGGTTCGACGTCTGCGGTCGTATCAAGCTGCGCCCAGCGGTGCATTTTATTAGATAAGATTTTAAGGAAATTTATATCAAAAGTATTTTATTAGTAATGTTTGTGAAAAGTTTGAATATCAGTAATGATTTTTATACGCTCGTTTAATTTTTGACGGGACTTATTATGGTATACAAATGTCCAGCGTCCGTCCGTCTGTCTGTCTGTCCGGCGTAAACATGTCGCACCGTAACTTGAGAATGACTTATCCAAATTTCATGAAACTTACCATAGTTGTTTCTTATGATGGTCAAACGATCTGTATACTTTTTGGTGAAAATAAGATTAAAACTTTTTGAGTTACGGGACTTAGTAACTAAAACAGGTGTGTGTTTTTTTTCACATGTCGCGCCGTATCTCAAAAACAGTTTATGATTATTGCTTAAAACTTTACACGCTTCTTAATTATATTAATCTTAAGATCTGTATACTTTTTGGTGATGATTCAAAATTTTATTTTAGAGATATTGAGTATTTTGTTATAAAAGGGGGAGGGGTTTTTCACATGTCGCGCCGTATCTCAAAAACAATTTAAGATTATTGCTTAAAACTTTACACACTTCTTAGTTATATTAACCTTAAGATCTGTATACTTTTTGGTGATTATTCAAAATTTTATTTTTGAGTTATTGAGTATTTTGTAAAAAAAGGGGGAGGGGTTTTTCACATGTCGCCGCAGTATCTCAAAAACAATTTATGATTATTGCTTAAAATTTTACACACTTCTTAGTTATATTAATCTAAAGATCTGTATACTTTTTGGTTTTGATTCAAAATTTTATTTTTGAGATATTGATTTTTTTTTTTTTTTTAATGGAGGGGTTTTCACATGTCGCACCGTATCTCAAAAACGATTTATGGTTATTGCTTAAAAATTTACACACTTCTTAGTTATATTAATCTTAAGATCTGTATACTTTTTGGTTTTGATTCAAAATTTTATTTTAGAGATATTGAGTTTTTTGTAAAAAAAAAAGGGGGTTTTCGCATGTCACGCCGTATGTCAGAAACTATTTATGCTTATTGCATAAAAATTCACACACAAGACGACGGGCGTATCATGCGCTCATGGCGCAGCTGTTTATTTTGTTGCCTGGAACAGATCAGGGCTTTTTGAAATTTGGTAGCCAGTTTCATATGAGCATGCATTATAATGAGTTTTTATGCCCATGCCGTAGCGTAGGGGGCATTAAGCTTTACCCTTTCCGTCTGTACGTCCATACGTCCGTACGTCCCAAAGTTGGTTTCCGTTCAAGATCAGATCAAGTATGAGTTTTGGTGTCGTCACTTTAACTGTTCTAGAGTTATGCCCCTTTACAAATGGAAAAATTGCTGAATTTTTCGTTTCCGTTCTCTAACTTTAGTTTGCCTCGACCAAATGTTATGAAACTTATACACAATGCTTATTACTACATAATACAGGTCAAGTTTGAAATTGGGTGGCGTCACTTTTACAGTTCTTGAGTTATGCCCCTTTACTTGAGTTATGCCCCTTTATAAAGTTAAAAATTGCTGAATTTTTTATATCCGTTCTCTAACTTTAGTTTGCCTCAACCAAATGTAATGAAACTTATACACAATGCTTATTACTACATAATACAGATAAAGTTCGAAATTTGGTGGCATCACTTTTACCGTTCTTGAGTTGTGCCCCTTTATAAACATAAAAATTGCTGAATTTTTCCTTACCGTTCTCTAACTTTAGTTTGCCTCGACCAAATGTTATGAAACTTATACACAATGCTTATTACCACAAAATACAGATCAATTTTGAATTTTGGTGATGTCAGTTTTACGTTTATAGAGTTATGCCCGTTTGCAAATGGAAAAATTGCTGAATTTTTCGTTTCTGTTCTCAAACTTAAGTTAGCCTCAACCAAATGTTATGAGACTTATACACAATACTTATTACCACAAAACTCAGTTCAAGTACAAATTTGGGTAGTGTCACTTTTACCGTTCTTCAGTTATGTGCCTTTATAACTTTATATGATATGCAAGCAGGGGCATCATCTGTGTCCCTTGGACACCATCTGTGTCCATCCATTCCTCGTTTATTTATTATTCATCACTCATCAACTTCCTGTTAACCAAATACTTAGTATTCCTACACATTTTGGCTCATGTTTGAAATTTTAAGTCTAATTTTTCCACAGAAACTACTTTAAATTTTAAAGCAGGATTCTTGTGAGCATGCTATACTGTTTGATGTGTTTTTACTTATCAACTTCCTGTTTAAGGTATCAATTTCTCACAGTTCAACCTGTTTCCTGTTTCCTTTGGACTGATTAAATATTTGCTGTTCTAATTTCAGATGCATGCACTAAGGAAATTGAAATCAGTCAATTTAAGTTTTGCAAAGATCTGACCAGGAAGTATAAGAAATGGAACATATTTCCAATTAAAACTTTTAAATTTTGTTTAAAGGACATGAGGGTGAAAACTTGAAAAGTTAAAATGCTTTTTTCTTTTTCAGTATTGGAACCACAAAGAAAGGAATTGGTCCAACATATTCATGTAAGGTATGCACATCATACCCTTAATTAAGAGAATCTGTTGTTTAATAAGGAAAAAAGTATAATAAAAATACCAGACTCCAAGGTAAATTGAAAAAGGGGAAGTCCGAGTGAAAAACAACTGTCATATACCTGACTTAGTACAGGTATTTTCCAAAGAAAATGGTGGGTTAGACCTGGTTTTATAGCTAGCTAAACCTCCTACTTATATGACAGTTGTTTATAGTTCCATTATATTGACAAAATTGGGTGAGCAACCCGAACAGACATTATAGGTTTATGTGGCAATAATTGGGACCAGCAGCCAAAATTGTATAAACATACATAATCATAACTGACAAAAAAATCAAACAAACATACAAATAAATCTAACATAAAAGGTGTTGCAGTTGTTAGTAAATTTGACAAAGATGCTAACAAAAATTTATTTTTGTTTATACATGTAGTAAGTATACTGACAGACGCTGATAAAAAAGTTTTTGTAGTTGATACATACCTGTCAAGATATGTCAATGACCCTTACGTTTCATTAAGGTATCACTACAGTCTAATGAAGTTTTTTTGGTGAAATTTTTTTTATCACATTATTTTAAAGTATTTATCCATCTGAACGTTTTGTAAAAATCCCAGTGTCATTAAGATGTCACAACAGGGAGTAAATGAATAATTAAATTATGTAAATAAAAGCACATGGTCAATACTTTATATATAAGACCATATGGGAGGAGCTAATCATTCAATCACCTGTTGATACCAAGTGTCCAGTGTTAATCTCTGACCACAAGAAAAATAATGTGGTCTTATTGAACCCCTGAGGAGTTCATGTCTATATATTGGTGAGTTTTGGTAGCTTCTATGGGTCATTCGGATATCTTTGGAAACAAGATTGGAATCTCTCTAAAATTTTCCATCATTTATACAGGTAGTTTTCTGTCTTTGATACAGTCCCTCTATGGATAGGCTACCACGTGACTTGGTATATTTCAACACAGTTCATTTGTAAATTGAAAAGTGAAAAAAAATAAGGACTAGATTGCAGTCAAAAAATCATTTATATTTATGATTTTTGGAACCTATTTGCCTTTTGACGAAACATATGTGTTTTTAGCTCACCTTTCCAAAGGAAATGTGAGCAAATGTGAGCTTTTGCCATCACTTGGCGTCAGTCGTCATCGTCTCTTCGGTGTAAACTATTTCAAACATCTTCTCTGAAACTACTGAACCAATTCTTACCAAACTTAAGCTGAATGATCCTTATAGGGTATCTAGAATAAAGCTTGTTTTATTTACTGTTTCGTAAAAAAAACATAGCCGCCAGGGCTAAAAATAGAACATGGGGGTAAAATGCAGTTTTTGGCTTATATCTCAAAAATTAAAGCATTTAGAGCAAATCTGACATGGGGTAAAAATGTCCAATAGGTCAAGTTCTATCAGATACTTTCAGATGAATCTAACAACCCATTGTTGGGTTGCTGCCACTAAATTGATAATTTTAAGGAAATTTTGCAGTTTTTGGTTATATCTTGAATATTATTATAGGTAAAGATAAACTGTAAACAGCAAAAATGCTCAGCAAAGTAAGATCTACAAATAAGCTTTAAATGACCAAAATTGTCAATTGACCCCTTAAGGAGTTATTGCCATTTAAGGACAAATTTACACAATTTGTTTATCATTTTTTCTAACTTTAAAAACATCTTCTCCTCTGAAACTACTGAACCAATTCCAACCAAACTTAAGCTGAATAGTCCTTAGGGTATCTAGAATAAATTTTGTGTTTTATTTTCTGTTTCATCAAAAAACATGGCCGCCATGGCTAAAAATAGAACATAGGGGTAAAATGCAGTTTTTATACGACCGCAAAAAAATTTTGCGGCCGTATATTGGTATGATGTTGGCGTCGTTCGAAGACACATTGGTTTTCGCACTCTAACTTTAGTTTAAGTGAATGGATCTCTATGAAATTTTACCATAAGGTTCAATACCACAAAAGGAAGGTGGGGATTGATTTGGGGGGTTATGGTACCAACAGTTAAGGAATTAGGGGCCAAAAATAAGCATTTTTGTAACTTCCAGACATAACTTGTGTGTAAGTGTATGGATCTCTCTGACATTGTACCACAAGGTTCCATATTACAAAGGGAATGCTGGGATTGATTTTGGGGGTAATTGCCTTCAAATTTTAGGAAAAAGGGGCCAAAAAGGGGCAAAAAACAAGCATTTTTCTAGTTTCATGACAATAACTTGTGTGTAAGTGTATGGATCTCTCTGATATTGTATCACAATGTTCCATATCACAAAGGGAATGCTGTGATTGATTTTGGGGGTAATTGCCTCTAAATTTATGGAATTAGGGGCAAAAAAGGGGCAAAAAACAAGCATTTTTCTAGTTTCATGACAATTACTTGTGTTCAAGTGTTTGGATCTTTATGAAATTGTACTACAAGGTTCCATATCACAAAGGGAAAGCTGGACTTGAGTTTGGGGGTAATTGTCCAAAACGTTTAGGAATAAGGGGCCAAAAAGGGGCCAAAAATAAGCATTTTTCTAGTTTCCAGACGATAACTTGTGTTCAAGTGTATGGATCTCTCTGAAATTGTACTGCAAGGTACCATACCACAAAGGGAAGGCTGGGATTGATTTTGGGGGTAATTCCCTCAAAATTTTAGGAATTAGGGGCCATAAAAGGGCAAAAAAACAAGCATTTTTTAGTTTCTAGACAATAACTTGTGTGTAAATGTATGGATCTTTATGAAATTGTACTGCAATGTTCCATATCACAAAGGGAAAGCTGGAATTGAGTTTGGGGGTAATTGCCCTGAACATTTAGGAATTTGGGGCCAAAAAGGGGCCAAAAAAAAAGCATTTTTCTAGTTTCCAGACAAAAACTTGTGTTCAAGTGTATGGATCTCTCTGAAATTGTACTGCAAGGTGCCATACCACAAAGGGAAGGCTGGGATTTAGTTTGAAGGTGATGAATCATAAGGGGGTTCAAAAAATTTGGGGGGGGGGATTTTTTTTCCCTTTTTTTTTCTTTAAAACTTTCCATTTTAAATTGGTTATTTCTGATTTATATATAAAAGCAAATAATAATGATATGGTTTGAATAGGTAAATTAAAAAATTTTAAGTTCTTAGACCACATTCATTCTGTGTCAGAAACCTATGCTGTGTCAAATATTTAATTACAATCCAAATTCAGTGCTGTATCAAGCTTGAATGTTGTGTCCATACTTGCCCCAACTGTTCAGGGTCGACCTCTGTGGTCATATCGAGCTGCACCCCAGCGGAGCATTTTATTAACCCGTTGTTAGGTTGCTGCCCATGAATTGGTAATTTTAAGAAAATTTTGCAGGTTTTGGTTATTATCTTGAATATTATTATAGAAAGAGATAAACTGTAAACAGCAATAATGTACAGCAAAGTAAGATCTACAAATAAGTCAACATGACCAAAATGGTCAATTGACCCCTTAAGGAGTTATTGTCCTTTTAAGACAATTTTTCACAATTTGTTCATCTAGTTTGCTTACTTTAAAAAATCTTCTCTATTGAAACTGCTGAATCAATTTCAGCCAAACTTGGACTGAATGAGTTTCAGAGTATCTAGTATAAATGATGTATTTTATAACCTTGTACGTCAAGAAACATAGCCACTATGGCTAAAATGGAACATAGGGGTAAAATGCATATTTTTGATTTTGAAGAAAATATGACACAGATACAAAGAACATTTAAATGGCATTTTTGGAAAGTTTGCTATAGCTTGCTATAGCAAAAACTTTCCTAAGGGATCGGCCTCAAACCGGAAGTGACAGACTATCTTACTTTAGGATGTGTGTTCTACTCATAGATAATGTAGTACTGGTGTTTGACAACTAATTCTAGGAAGATGCTTTTGAAATTTGAGTTTCCTCTATTTTTGATTAGCTTACAGTTTGAATTAAAATGTACTGAATGTTCATCGATAATTCAAATAATTCAACTTCATTTTGAAAATGACTATCACAAACACTACTTCGCGGATCTGCACTGCGCGGAAAGTAAAATCAATACACATCTACACGAGACAGCAGTTTCTACGTTATGCTATTATCGGTTTTCCCCAGACATGCGTGAGATCCATATCAACTAGCCTGGGATCCTGGCCAGCTGCTTGACAGTAGACAAAGTATTAGATTGGGTCAGGATGCCAGGCTGCCATATCAACGGGAGTACTATGATCCCAGTTTCAGGCTTTTCCTCCCGTCCTGTTGAAGAGAAAATAAATACCGTGTTTAAAATATTTCATGAATGAACATTTTTCGACGCTTACTATGATTTTTACTATGTTTATTAAAGACGTAAAAGCCCGAGTGTATCGAAAGTATCCCAGTATCTCATCTCAGCCCACAACAAACTCGGACTATAATGAACTCGGCCTATTACATGATCAGCATCAAGGACTATAATAAAATTCGTAATTATACTACTTGCTATTAAGTCTCCCAAACAAAGTTTGGAGACTTATTGTTTTGCTCAGTTCTTATTATTTTTCTTCTTGAGGTCTATTTAGGGGTATTTTGAGGGGCCAACAGAAGGGAGGGATTTACTATAGAACCCTATGGGATTTATTTTTTTTTTAAATTTTCAAATGACTATAACGTGAAAACAGTAAGTGATAGACACACACGGTTTTCAGTAATGATACAGAATCATAAAACAAATCAAATGAAATATAGCGGGAGTCTATCTGGATCAGCCCCACCCCCTCCTGTTTGAGAACTTTTAAACGGTTGAGATCCCCACCCCTAAACCATATATATTATTGTATGGGACAATAAAACAAGTCATATGAAATATAGGGGGAGTCCATGGATGTCACTCCCACCCCATCCTGTTTTGAGAACTTTTAAACGGTCAAGATCCCCACCCCGAAACCATATATATTCTTGTATGGGACAATAAAACAAATCAAATGAAATAAAAGGCGAATCCCCTAGGGTCACTCCCATCCCCTTCCTGGGAATGACTAATTATGGGAGCTTTGTTTTGGAGACTTCGTAACAGCATCATGTTACAATTATTTCTTGTTTTAAGTAAATTTTTTTTAAAGTCGGAAAAAAAGTGAAACACCCAATCTACACATTTACAACCTATTTGAAATGTTACACATCTACCGTTGCAAACTTTCCACAGGTGCTATCCAGCACTTTTATTAAGCCACTCATTAATATATATTGAAAAGCAAAAATAATCATTGATGAAAGATTTAAGCCAAAATATTACAGGTGAGCCATTCAGGCTCTTGAGAGCCTTTTGTTAATAATGCGAATGTTTATTGAATATCAAGTATAATGATAACGCAATTATATTATTCATGTTTTGAGACAGTCCCTGTACGCGTTGTGTGTGTAGTATTTAATACAACGTGCTATTGTGCATTGTGACAATAAACCTGGGAATAGTTTATTAATATATAATGTCCCAGAGTAAACTGATTATTTCTGAACGTTTACTACGTGATATTTTGTATCTCAATCATAGCCTGGGAAAATATCGGAAAGCATGAAGAAGAAAATTAACAAAACAATATTTCTGTTATAAATATTTATCTTAGGTCGGAAACACAGTGGTTGGAAAGCAGAAAGATACTTAAACAAAAGGATTTTTCTGTCAAAAAAAATTAATTTCATTAATAGATACTAACAGACCAAGAGAATATTCATCAAAATTATTAAGTTATTACTGGACTAAATTTATCCTTAATAGAATATAATTAAAATTGTTATACATCATAACATTGTATTAGGTCGAAGAGGTTTGAACAATGAATACATTTATGAAAATTATATGCAACATATATGAGCACCAATGAGCAGAGATGCGTACACATAAGTTAGTATCTAAACGGTATATAGTGAATGAAAAAATACTTTCGTAGTTTCAATTCACAAGGAATTTAAATCCTTGCATCTCACAAAAAACTTAATTAATGTTTTACAATAATCATAAAAAAATTACTATGTTAATTATTTTATACTGTTTTAGTATGGTATTATAAATCTTTGCTTATATTTTGTATATCAATATATTCATATAATAGAAAGTTAGACTTTAAGAAAAGATTGATTTGATAAATAAAATATCCATCAGAAAATGCATGTCATTTGTGTTTATTGATATTATATTTTAAATTTTCGAAAAAGATTCATTATCAGGAATATATGTTAATTAAATTTCATTTCTTTTTTTGTTATGCCCCCACCGAAGCGGAGGGGGCATTAAGTTTTACCTTTGTCCTTGTCCGTGTACTTGCGTCCCAAAGTTGGTTTCCGTTGTCTGACTTTAGTTTGCGTCAACCAAATGTTATGAAACTTATACACAATGCTTATTACCACAAAACACAGATCAAGTATGAATTTTGGTGTCATCACTTTAACCGTTCTAGAGTTATGCCCCTTTACAAATGGAAAAATTGCTGAATTTTTCGTTTCCGTTCTCTAACTTTAGTTTGCCTCGACCAAATGTTGTGAAACTTATACACAATGCTTATTACCACAAAACACAGATCAAGTTTGAATTTTGGTGGCATCATTTTAACTGTTCTAGAGTTATGCTCCTTTACAAATGGAAAAATTCCTGAAATTTTCGTTTCCGTTCTCTAATTTAAGTTGCCTCTACCAAATGTTATGAAACTTTTACACAATGCTTATTACCACAAAATACAGATCAAGTTTAAATTTTGGTCATGTCCCTTTTACTGTTCTAGAGTTATGCCCCTTTACAAATGGAAAAATTGCTGAATTTTTCTTTTCCGTTCTCTAATTTAAGTTAGCCTTCCAGACCGGGTCTGGAGTATAAATAGCAGCCAATAAGAAAAATGAAGGGAAATTCAAGTTTCTTTGCAGGTTTCATGATTGGGAAGCATTTTTGTGTTTTACTAAATAAATAATATAAAGTTTCACTTGATATTATTCTCATAAGTGCAGTACATACTTTTGAAAAAATATAAGTTAAAACAAAGTGATTTGATAAATTAGTTTTTATGTAATTGTAAAATAAAATTCAGAAGTGGTCAATATTTTGAATTTCAAATGGTTTGATTGACTCACTTGAGGCGGAGCCTTCTAATGTTTGTAAACACAACAGCATGCACATGCTACAGTCTAAAAATAAATGAAAACCCTACCTTTTTGCACAGACAAAATACAATCCTCACATAGATCCAAGAATATTTGCAACTAGATTAATTCCTTCATAAATACAATATACCTCCTCAGAATATTTATAGTTTAAAGAAATTCTCAAAATATGTTTGAAAATGTGTAGATTGGCTTAATGATATTTTTCACAAACTTAATTTGTATATATATAATTATTCCCACATGTAATGGCCTGACCATTAAGTATAACCACGATTGGGCTCAAGCAATAAGACTATCAGGTGCTGACAATTTATTCTCAAACCAATCTAACAAATGGTAAAAAGCTGAAAATACAAAATAAAATACAATTTTACAATGTGTTCAATTAATGTTATAATGTATTGAATGTCAAGTGTAGACAATAGAAAAGTCCATAGAATGCGAAATAAAGCTGCAGTTATTAAAGGTGAAGTTTCCAGTATATCACAAATAAAAGAGTTCAATTATGTGAAGAACGATTTGAAGGCATCAAATACAAAGTTATAAATGTAACTAGCAAAATTCCATTCAATTGCTGTCTCATCAGAGAGAGGTTGGTCCCAATCGACGGTTTCTGATACTATCTTCCTTAGTAGGAGTTTCCCTTGTATAATCACCGGAGCCAAAAATTCAAGAGGGTCGTAGAGACTGTTTATCGTTGATAAAATTCCTCTCCGCGTGATCGGTTTGTTTTCTGATGATAATTGAAATAAGAAGTTGTCAGTGTTGACGTCCCAGCTGAGCCCAAGACTATGTTGTAAGGGTTTGCTGTCGGATTCTAAGTCTAGATCCTTTAGATTTGAAGGCAAATCACTGGCATGAAACGCAGACATAACTTCTGCACAATTAGAGGCGAACTTGTGAAGCCTTAAGTTTCCATATTTTGCTAATGCTTGCTGTGTGTCCTTCATGAGCTTTACAGCTTCCTCCTTTGTAGGACATGACGTAAGACCGTCATCGACATAGAAATCTCCTGTAACAAAGCTAGTCACGTGACTGCCAAACTCTTGTTCTGATGCCTGAGCTGCTTTTCTGAGACCAAGCGTAGCAACGGCAGGTGACGGACTATTTCCGAAAACATGAAGTCTCATGCGGTATTCGACAAGGTTCTCTTTTAGGTCGTTGTCTTTATGCCATAAAAATCTCAGATAATTTCGGTGGTCTTTTCTGGCTACAAAACAGTGAAACATGTGTTGGACGTCTGCAGTTACTGCGACCATTTCTTTCCTGAAACGCAGCAATACTCCTAAGAGATCTTTGGTCAAGTCGGGACCTGTTAACAGGACGCTGTTAAGCGAGACTCTGTTACATTTTGCGGAAGAATCATACACACCCCTAATCTGATAGGGTTTCTTTGGGTGATAGACACCAAACAATGGGAAATACCAGCACTCTTCATGGTCGTCTAACGGTGGAGCGAGCTCTGCATGATTTTGTCTAGGATCTTACTCATAAATGTAAGAAAGTGTTCCCGCTTTACTGGGTTTCTATTCAGACTGGCGTCTAACATATTAGCACGATGAAGAGCTTGTGGTCTGTTGCTTGGCAATGGCTGTCTTGGCACTCGGAACGGTAACAGTGCTACCCAACTTCCTTCAGAGTCCCTCACAAATTCGTTGTCCATCTGCTTCATGAACATTTTGTCTTCATATGACATTCCAGGCTTATCATCGTCCCTTGTTTTTATACGACCGCAAGTATATTGGTATGACGTTGTCGTCGTCCGAAGACACATTGGTTTTCGCACTCTAACTTTAGTTTAAGTGAATGGATCTCTATGAAATTTTACCATAAGGTTCAATACCACAAAAGGAAGGTGAGGATTGATTTTGGGGGTTATGGTACCAACAGTTAAGGAATTAGGGGCCAAAAAGGGGTAAAAAATAAGCATTTTTGTAACTTCCAGACATAACTTCTGTGTTAGTGTATGAATCTCTCTGACATTATACCACAAGGTTCATATCACAAAGGGAATGCTGGGATTGATTTTGGGGGTAATTGCCTCCAAATTTTAGGAATTAGGGGCCAAAAAGGGGCAAAAAACAAGCATTTTTCTAGTTTCATGACAATAACTTGTGTGTAAGTGTATGGATCTCTCTGACATTGTACCACAAGGTTCCATATCACAAAGGGAATGCTGGGATTGATTTTGGGAGTAATTGCCTCCAAATTTTAGGAATTAGGGTCCAAAAAGGGGCAAAAAACTAGTATTTTTCTAGTTTCATGACAATAACTTGTGTGTAAGTGTATGGATCTTTATGAAATTGTACTTCAAGGTTCCATATCACAAAGGGAAAGCTGGAATTGAGTTCGGGGGTAATTGCCCAAAACGTTTAGGAAAAAGGGGCCAAAAATAAGCATTTTTCTAGTTTCCAGACAATAACTTGTGTTCAAGTGTATGGAAATCTCTGAAACTGTACTGCAAGGTACCATACCACAAAGGGAAGGCTTGGATTGATTTTGGGGTTAATTCCCTCAAAATTTTAGGAATTAGGGGCCATAAAGGGGCAAAAAAACAAGCATTTTTCTAGTTTCAGGACAATAACTGTGTGTAAGTGTATGGATCTTTATGAAATTGTACTGCAAGGTTCCATATCACAAAGGGAAAGCTGGGTTTGAGTTTGGGGGTAATTGCCCTAAATGTTTAGGAATTTGGGGCCAAAAAGGGGCCAAAATAACAAGCATTTTTCTAGTTTCCAGACAATAACTTGTGTTCAAGTGTATGGATCTCTCTGAAATTGTACTGCAAAGTACCATACCACAAAGGGAAGGCGGAAGGCTGGGATTGAGTTTGGGGGTGATGAATCATAAGGGGGTTCAAAAAATTGGGGGGGGATTTTTTTTCTTCAAAATTTTCCATTTTAAATTGGTTATTTCTGATTTATATATAAAAGCAAATAATAATGATATGGTTTGAATAGGTAAATTAAAAAATTTTAAGTTCTTGGACCACATTCATTTTGTGCCAGAAACCTATGCTGTGTCAAATATTTAATTACAATCCAAATTCAGTGCTGTATCAAGCTTGAATGTTGTGTCCATACTTGCCCCAACTGTTCAGGGTTCTACCTCTGCGGTTGTATCAAGCTGCGCCCCAGCGGAGCATTTTATTTCAAAGAGTGACGATTGTAAATCTTTCTTTACAGGGTCTGTTAAATTTTCCCAGATGTCAAACTTGCTTGTGCATGGTTGAAAAGTTGATGGGTGTCCTGTAGGTAAAATGTTAGTTATTTTGACGTTTAATTCATAGGGCACGTGCTGCTTGTTATTGCAAATCTCTCCTATCACTACCCAACCCAGTTTCAATTGTTGTGCATATGGAGTTCTGGGTGGTCCTTTGCGCTGGTCAAGGACGTGGTGTGCCTCTATAAGGTCTCTGCCAATTAAGAGAAGAATTTGGCAATTTTCATTTATTGGTGGAATGCTACTTCTGATGAGTTCTTTTAAATGAAGATGATGCATTGTGACTTCAGGAGTAGGTATTTCGTCCCTATTGTTGGGAATATGATCACATTCTATTAGTACCGGAAGGTCAAATTTGTCATTACCATTATTGATTCCATGACAAAACCTCTTCCCCTTTTCCCGGAAGTAACTACTCTGCTGGAGCATGTTGATAAGGTATAGTTCTCTGGTTTATCTTTTACGTCGAAAAGATTGAAGAATTTGGGCGATGCTAGTGACCGGTTGCTTTGGTCATCAATGATGGCGTACATCCGGATAACGTTGTCCTGTTTATTCCTTGTGATTAACATTCACAGGTAGTATTTTAGCACAAGATTTCCCACTATATATATCCTTGCAGATCTCAGTACAGGTAGAGTTTACTGAGGTTGACTTAGTTTCAGCAGATTCTGTTGGCTCCCCGCCATAGGCTTGCCTGGGCGGGCTAGACTGAGAACTTGCAGGTTGCTGTGGTTTAGTGATGTGAAGTGCAGTAGTGTGTTGTTTACTTCCACATTCTTTACAACTTATGCGTGCATTGCATTCCCGGCTTCTGTGTGTGGTGGAATCGCAGCACTTGTAACAGACATTATTTTGTTTCAAAAGACCTTTGCGTTCCTCTATTGACTTGGCTCGGAACGCTTGACATTCATTTAAAGAATGCTTTGTATTGTGCAGAATACAAAGATCTTGTTTGCTGGCGTCTCCAGATTGCTGCTCAACCGCTGTTTTATGAACACCAACTTTAGTCTTGGGGTGAGACGTTAACCTAGGTGCAGCACCTTTTGTATTAGGTGTGGCTTTTGACCCAAAGATAAACCAAGGGTCGTTTTTAATTCTGGTTATTTCACTGATGAATGCAGATAGCTCCGTAAAAGGCGGAAAGGCAACATCGTGGTTCGATTTATATCAAGATGCCCTAGTTATCCACTTTTCTTGAAGTCCATAGGGTAGTTTTTCAATGATAGGGTTTATTCCAGACGGTGAGTCGAAATAAGCCAGCAGGCATCCCAGCTTGGGATTTTCCTTGTGATATTCTATTTCTGATAAAATATCAGACAGTTCATAGAGACGTGCATTGTCTTTATTTGTCAAGGTAGGAAAATTGACGAGTTTACTAGTGAGAGAAGCCTCCAACATTTCTGGAGCACCATATCGCTCGTCAAGCCTCTTCCATAATCTTTGTATGCCTTTTGTAGGATTATTTGTGTTCGACGCTCTTATGCTGATGGCATGTTTAGCAGACTCTGGACCGAGCCACTTGATCAGAAGATCAATCTGTTCCGAGTCAGAAACTTGTAACTCGTCTGTCACGTTTTTAAAGCTTGCTTTCCATGTATGGAAGGATTCTGCCCGGTCATTAAAGCTTGTTAACCGGGAGAATAGTAGGTCTTTGCGTAGAAGAAATCTAGTTATCTCTGATGTAGGATTAATTGGTTGCAGGTGTGTAGCAGGGATCTCTTCTTTAACACCCTGTTTTTGGTGTTCAGCAGGGATCTCCTCTGAAAGGCCTAGTTTTTGTATGCCGGTTACTATTCCCAGATCTGGGATTAAGGTAACTTGCGTAGACTTAGTATCGCAAGGCAAGACAGCAGATGTCTGTGACGGCAAGTTCAGTGCCACGGATGGCACGAACGCTGGTGCTTCATGACTCAGCTCAATCTTAACAGGAATTTGTTTTATCTTTTGAGGTCCTGCTACTTCCTGTACAGCAGTTGGTACAGGATGTTGATTGACGAAATCTTGCACACGCTGCAGCAGGTCTTCCGTTTTGTCAGGGAGATCGCTAAATGCTTGGCTGCCGTCGTATTCCAGGATACGAGCCTCGGCTTCTGCAGCTGCAGCTTCTCTCTGTGCTGCGAGAAGGTTCAAATTGGCCTTTAATTCAGCCTTTTCCCGGCTTACACGTGCAGCCTCTTGTTCCAGTTGAGCTTTTCTGCGTATGGCCTCTTGTTCTTGTTGAGCTTTCCTTTGTGCTGCCTCCTGTTCCATTTGAGTTTTCAGGTATTTGAGTTTTCAGGTATGCAGCCTCTTGTTCTATTTGAATTTTTCTTTGTGCAGCCTCTTGTTCCATTTGAACTTTTCTTTGTGCAGCCTCTTGTTCCATTTGAACCTTTCTTTGTGCAGCCTCTTGTTCCATTTGATTTTTTTTACGTAAGGCTTCCTGTGTTGCTTGAATGGCTTGTTGCTCCATTTCGGCTTTGATTTCAGTTTGTCTGAACAGAGCCTGTTCCTCCAATAATGCCTCTTGTTAAATGATCAAGGCATGTATTTCGGCAAAGGCTATTTTTGACTTCGCAGCCTCTGCTTTGGCACGCTTCCTCCGTGCTAGGCTTGACATATCAGAGACATTGGAGCTTCCGCTGTGTGAGGTGTTCTTACTCTTGGAAGTCCTCGTTTTAGTGGATTTAGCCTTTGTCAGGGCGAGGCGGTGCTCGTGTAATGTTTCCATGACCAGGTCCACTTTCGACAGACGAATATCTGTTGAAAGGTTACATGTATCAATGTCTTTAAGACTATCCAATGTTTTGGTATTCTTCAGAAATATCAGGTACTCGTCTATGAGCCTGCGATAATTAGTACAGGCTTGTACGATTTTGTCCTGTGCTGTTAGCAATTGCTGCAGCTCGCTAGGAGGCGTGGCCACTTCTAATAACTGGAATTCAATACTTGACCAGAGGGCCTCTAGTTCTTGATATAACTTGTCACGTTTTTCGGTGTATGCTCCTTAACCTTTATCCGTGAGTTCACGTACTCGCCTAGTCTCGGGAAATTCCTCTAGGTGTGCAACGTCAGACGGAGTATCGACAGGCTGTCTGGCATTTATAGGCAGTTTCGCTCTTGCTTGAAGTTCTGTTTCTTGATGCTCAGGGTCGTCTTGGCGTTCTGCGTGTTCAGGATCCATGTTTTTTAATCAAAGTTACTAACGGATAGTAAGATTAAAACAAACTGTTGCCAACGTTGGTGGTTTGCTGCCTGGTACACACAAGCTGTGTTGCGTACTGTCGATGTAACAGGTACGAGCGATGCTACGTTGTCATTCCTTGTCTGGATATGTACAGACAGGTTGTCGTCAATTTACTGTACGTCAAGGGATGACGCGTTCTTGCAGGGCTCAACAGGCAGGTTGTAGCTGTAGAACTGACGTGGAGTGGCGTTATCTGTGAGACACAACAGGCAAGTTGTAGACTTTTTACTGTAATGGCCTGACCATTAAGTATAACCACGATTTGGCTCAAGCAATAAGACTATCAGGTGATGACAATTTATTCTCAAACCAATGTAACAAATGGTAAAAAGCTGAAAATACAAAATAAAATACAATATTACAATGTGTTCAATTAATGTTATAATGTATGAATGTCAAGTGTAGACAATAGAAAAGTCCATAGAATGCGAAATAAAGCTGCAGTTATTAAAGGTGAAGTTTCCAGTATATCACGAATAAAAGAATTCAATTATGTGAAGAACGATTTGAAGGCATCAAATACAAAGTTGTGTGTAAATGTAACTCACTCTGTGGTTAGCCATGAATTGTGTCCTATATGATGTTTGTCCTCAGAATGTTCTCCGGTACTGAGATGACCTTGCGGTATTCAGTTCGAGGTACGTGTAAGAAAGGGAAAGGTAACAATGATACGATGTTTTGACATTCTATACGGTTTAACGATGAATAATCCTCCTAGGTCAGGAACGCATAAACAGATTAAGAATATAATTAAACAATCTTTATAAAATGACCAATGAGGTTACAGAATACCACATGTGGCCCATGTATGGTACATTTGGTAAATTGGGCAACCATGATCTTACTAATTCAATGACACATTTTGGCATCAAGTCTCGCCTATGATAAACATAGTTCCTTTTTCTGGGATCCTGACGGAGAGCTGCACGTTTTCTTTCTAGATATCTAGGATCCTGCCATACACTTCTATGGAAAAGATTTGTCCAGAAACGTTTATAGTCCGTTTTTCTCAAGGAAGAATTTCTTATATGTGCCATTTGTATTTCACTCTCCCACCCCATTTGTCTGTTATGTTCATGTGTTATGCATAAACAGTACTGACATTCTTCAAAATTATCATTTTTGTCGAGCTTTCAACTTTTGTCGCAGAAAGCTCAACATAGGGATAGTGATACGGCGGCGTTAGCTAACTTCTTAAAAGCTTTATATTTTAGAAGCTAGAAGACCTGGATGCTTCATACTTTGTATATAGATGCCTTATGTTACGAAGTTTCCGTCTGTCATATGTCCATTGTCCTTGACCTCATTTTCATGGTTCAGTGACTACTTGAAAAAAAAGTCAACATTTTTTGTAATGTTAATTTCTTTCTTATTATGAGTAATAGGATAATATTGTATATGGAATGATTGTAAGGTGTACATGTCCAGCTGGTAGGTGTCATCTGACCTTGACCTCAATTTCATGGTTCAGTGGTCAAAGTTAAGTTTTTGAGTTTTGGTCTTTTTTTCTAATACTATGTGCAATAGGTCAACTATATTTAGTATGTGCGTACCTTGCAAGGTCCTCATGCCCGTCAGACAATTTTCATTTGACCTCGACCTCATTTCATGGATCAGTGAACAAGGTTAAGTTTATGTGGTCAAGTCCATATATCAGATACTATAAGCAGTAGGTCTACTATATTTGGTATATGGAATGATTGTAAGGTGTACATGTCCAAC